TGGATCTGTTATGAAACTCGATAGGTATGTGGTTCAATGGGAATGTTATGAAACTCGATAGGTATGTGGTCCAGTGGATCTGTTATGAAACTCGATAGGTATGTGGTTCAATGGGAATGTTATGAAACTCGACAGGTATGTGGTCCAATGGATTTGTTATGCAACTCGATAAGTATGCGGTCCAATGGATTTGTTATGAAACTCGATAGGTAAATGGTTCAATGGGAATGTTATGAAACTCGATAGGTATGTGGTCCAGTGGATCTGTTATGAAACTCCATAGGTATATGGTCCAGTGGATCTGTTATGAAACTCGATAGGTATACGGTCCAATGGGAATGTTATGAAACTCAATAGGTATGTGGTTCAATGGGAATGTTATGAAACTCGACAGGTATGTGGTCCAATGGATTTGTTATGCAACTCGATAAGTATGCGGTCCAATGGATTTGTTATGAAACTCGATGGGTATGTGATCCAATGGGAATGTTATGAAACTCGATAGGTATATGGTCCAATGGGATTGTTATGATTCTAGTTTATTTGGTCAAATTTCTTATGACCACATTCATTGATTAGAGGTGTGGATGGAAGTTTGTGAGCTTTTAGCATAATAACCTTTGTTAATTTCAAATTCATGTCTATTATTTTGTCAACGGCTCTTGGAGATATGTTCAATATCATTACAATTGCTCTTTGGGTAGGAAGATTCTCTTCCGTAACCATCACTTTTATTTTGCGCATGAGGACATTGCTTTGGATTGACTTGAGGTGTTGCATTGGAATTCTTTGATGTTTTAAACGCTATACTGTGCAATTTTCTCGGTTCCATGGAGAACATCGAAGTTCTAAACTGGATCTATATTGTTTATTAAAATCGCTTACGAATATCTCTTCCTGGTAGTGGGATATGACATATTTTTCTAGCCACGCATCCTTGGCAGTATCGTACTGTAGAATGAATAGGAATTCTCTATGAACCAAATTTTATAAGTTGTTATTATAAAGATCAATTACTCCTTTGTTTATGTTTTTCAAGCTTCAATAATTAAGATCTACTTTTTAAAGCTAAAGTATGTTAAGCTTTAGAATCTACAGATTTAAATGATATTATGAATCATATAAAGGTTTATATTCAATTATGTAGTAAAGCGTTTATGATAAAGCCAACATAAATATTTTCCTTTCTTTGTCTGTTAGGAACGTAAAAGATAAATACATTGAATGACCTCTTCAATTGATTAATCCTATATATATATATTGAAGTTACTGTATCTAATGCTATATAATTGTTATTAAAGATTGTGAACGTGCTTATTATTGTTAGTGTTCTCTTTCTTTGAGGCGTAATTTGCACTCACGGAGAGCTCAAAACACTATAGAAGAAAGTACTTTTTCTATTACATTAAATAGATAATTACGTTTTCGTGTGTTCTTTTAAATATTGTTTTCAGAAAACATATAATTTCTTTTATATACAAGTACAGGTATTGATTTTGCCGAGTTATCAAGTTTAATTCTGTAGCTTTTTTTTTGTAAATTATACAATGTTAAAATCTAACAAAAATAAATAATATAAGTTGCCGCGTCTTGTCTCATTTTATAATGGTTCAACTTCTAACGTGTTCATGCGTTAAGAACTTTAGTCTCTAGTAAAGTTAGCACATTTATACTAAACCATTATTGTAACGAAAAGCGTTCAACACGAAAATCGCATCTGTTCATATTATTTAAATGAAATTTTCGCTCCATTTGAATTCTAGATAATCTACTTAGGTTTCTCTATATACATAATGAAATCTACGAGGAGTAGATATGTGGAGTAATATATGTATTTTAAGAAGCTAGTTTCGGAGGTTTCCATTCACCTTAAAGTCGTAATGTTTAAACTTATAAAAACTGCAAGTTAAAAATTGTGAAACTTAGTAGCTGATTAACTTGAATATGAAAATGTATTATTTCTACATAAATACATGCAAAAAAATCGTTTATGACTAAAAGATTGTTTAAAAGAGGAAATTAAAAAAATATTCAACAGGAAGTCTTGTATTTGAATGCACTGATATTTCAGGATTGACGCGGTGATAAACAGTTATACAAAATATAAAAAAAGTGTTAAAGTACCGTATTTTTCGGTGTATAAGACGCACTTTTTTAACCCTAAAATTTGATGTCAAAATCTGCTTGCGTCCTATACACCGAAGGTATGAATAATATATATGTATATATAAGGTATACACAAGCGATGTGTAAATATATTTAAATAGTTTAGTTCAATTGAACGTGTTATTTATAACAATAGTAGTTTTTTTCTTTTAAAAACATAACTATTTATAATGCTCCCTAAATAATAAAAAAATTACAGTGAAAGCAATGAAGATTTTGTAAGTTTTGAACCAAACTAAATAAGAGTAAACTTTTTTGATTTACGGTATTTTCTTATTTTGATGTTTTGAGCTCTTTTGTGTTTAGAACAATATATATACTCAGTTTTAAAGTATCAAATTGAATTCTTGTTCAATAAAAATATTTCAAATGCGACTGTAGCTTTTTCTCCCCAAAACTTTGTCTTCAAAATAAGGATGCGCCTTATATTCCGAAAAATACGGTAAACTTTTACTGAGAAAAAACACTGGAAATTTAATACAATATTTAGGTTTTAAAAAATATTAATTTTTAAGTTTGATACGTAGATATTTTACAAATAAATATAAAAATATCTTTAATATTACTACTAATCGATATAGTAGTAAACTAGTATTTGTTAGTAAAGTTATTGAGATGTGACGTAGAAGTTAGGGCAAGGGTCTACTAGGATTGGAAAAATCATGTTAATACGAAAATTACACTTACAATAACACTAGTATTAACAGAAGTCTGAATTCAATGACAGAACATAGATTTGGATCAACTAACCCAAAAGCTCTAAGTTTATGTGTGATTTTGTTGTTTTTTATAACCCATAGAGGCAAAATAATATGCAGATTTGAAGCTAAAGTTTCAAAGTTGTATATAGAAATGCTGTACGCTTTTAGTTTTATATTTTGAAGTAATATATTTTGTGTAGCTTTCTAGAAGACTTCTATAAATACAATAAAAGAGCTAGTTCTTGTTGAAGTCACTTAAACTAAGTATTCTTTTGTAGTAATCTTAAAAATAAAATGATATGTGTATAATATTATTAGGAGAGGCAAGATTTTGAAGTTTTCTGATAAGAGAAGTATAACTATGAATATTGATAGTACCTATTTATTAATCGGTTTTGGTTATTTGACAGAAATTTTGAGTTTAAAAGCAAGTTAAAACTAGGCCAACTTTGAAAAATATATTTAGGATTGGTTTTTCATTTCAAATTAAATATTAGACAATATATAAGCTAACAACAGAGACAGAGAGAGTGAGAGTAGTGATGCTGTAGTTTTTATTAGAATGATTCTTAGCACATTATACATAGACTTATTTTGTAAAATGTATAGAAATTAGCTTTCAACACTAAATAATGCAAGATACATATGATGATGATGATAAAATTATATTACATGCAAAATATTTAAAGTTTTGACAGGCTAGCTCAATTTAAAAGTTTTAAACTGTTGCTACAGAAAAGTAAATCTTAAATAAATGGGCGATACATGTTATATAGAAACTTGTTTAATTCTTTGGAATAGTGTAGAACTTGTGAAGTGAGGTTGCTGATAGTGATAGCATTGATTATTTCAAGATTGTTTTTGTTTTTTTGTAGTGAATATAAATTTTACAAACTAGACTAAATCAAATTTTCAAACCCTAAAGGAATAATATTTTAAATACTATATCCTATTATGTAATGTCAAATCATTGGTAATGGTAAGTCAAATGTTTGAAATTGCATGTAAAAAACCTACTGTACATGTACACTTATATGGGATATTTTTTTCTTGTTTACAGTTTGATCCATTCATCAACCCATCATTTGTCTTTAGTTTTCTTGTAATATATATCATGCTATTGATAGATATCTTGCATCTTGATTTTTTTTAGTTTTACAATCTATACAATTTTAAATTCAGTTGTCAAGTAAATTGTTCCTGTTAAAAATGTTGACAAACTTGATTTAACTGGCTACTCAAGTTATAGTGATTTTATTAGTACATGTACATGAATCACCTCTGGTTTTATGAAAGTTTTGTGATATTTATAAATTTTCATTTTCCTTTCCCAGGTATTTGTCTCCCAAGTGACCTGGATATGTTTTGTCATATGAATAATGCTCGTTACTTAAGGGAGTTTGAATTTGCACGTTCATTTTCTTTGATCATAATGGGAATGTTCAAAGCTTGTAGAGAATTAAAGGGAACTGGAGTGCTGAGTGCTGTTTCAGTTCGCTACCGTCGCAGTATAAGTCTGTTTCAAGTATTTCGTGTCCGAAGTAAGGTAAGCAGCAAAGTTTGAATTGTAGTTTTGTTTTAAAGCTAGAAACATATACACTCATTTTTTATAGTTTCTTTATTATTAATAGAAATTAATATATCTAAATTGATAACTTCATTAAAACTATATACAAGACAAAAACAAGATAAACCCCAAGGGGAAAAATACATTTTAAACAGTAACAAATGCTAAGCAACTTGTGTTTTGAATAGTAAAAGCCATTTTTGAATAGCAGTGTTTAGTTGTTTAACTTGTACCTTCAGTAAGGAGGAGCCTATATATTTCCACCCTTTTATGATCTTAGAGTATGCACTTAGGAACTATTAATTGGATTAATAGTAAAAGCCATTTTTGAATAGCAGTGTTTAGTTGTTTAACTTGTACCTTCAGTAAGGAGGAGCCTATATATTTCCACCCTTTTATGATCTTAGAGTATGCACTTAGGAACTATTAATTGGATTACAGCTTTGGAAACAGTTACAGGCAAAGTTTAAATACCATTAGATAGAGCAAATTATAAACTATTTACATCAATGTAGAGAGAATAAACTAGTGTGTGAAGTAATTTATGAGGAAGTGAGAAAAGTGAGCTAGTACAGAAAAGTACAACAGAATGTAATGAGAAGCTTTAGACAAATTAGGAACAACAGCCCAGGAATGTTTTTACAGTTTCTTTAGGCATTCTTTACCTTTATGAAAATGTTTTTGTGTTAAATTGTATTTATTTAGAAGCTACAGAATTTGTTTTTTATGACAAGACATTAGGTAAGTTTTGTTAGATTTAGAGAATATGCAGGTGACAGAATGTTATTCCAGTAACATAAATATTATTATTAAGCTTATTGCATTCATAAAACTTGCATAAATACATAAACCAGCCTTGTCCACTTCAGCTCTGGGATTTGGAGCAGGTAGTCATGAAGGCCTTACCTTCCTTAGAAGCTATCATTTCTTTGGGTAGGGTGCACATGTGTTCTCTTCAATGAATGCTTTTTGACCAGTGGAACTTCTTCCATGATCCTATGGACCATCCCATCTCCCTTCCACCTGGGATCAGGGCTGATCTTGCTTGGTTGTTTAACAGAGACTTGACCACGGTGGGGGTTCACATTCCTCTGCCTCATCCATAGTCTCATCTGTTCACGGATGCTTTCTTGGAGGGTTTCCCAAAAGATTTTGGGTCATTGGTCAGCTCTCTATTTCAACATCCTAGATCCTTTGGCAGTTCATCAGGCTCTGTATCATTTCCTCCCACTCTTGCAGGGATAGGTGGTTATGGTGCATTCTAACAATTACACTGTGGTCAGCCTTATCGCCTAGCAAAGGGGAAGCAAGTCCTGTTCTGTGTGTATTCAGACTCTGGATTTCCTGTGCTAGGCCAGTGACCACAACATGACTGTTATGAATGTCATTTTCCCAGAATTATGAACATTGTGATCAATCAGTTATCCTATCCCAACCAGGTTTTTCCCCACAGAGTAGTTCCTTCATCCTCACATATTTCAGTGAGTGTGTTCTCAACTGAGAACACTGCATATAGATGCATTTGCCACTCACTGGAATACCAAACGTCATTCCTTCCTTTTGGTCTCCAGTTCCTCACCTCTTTACTCTTGGGATGGATGCTTTCAGTCAAGATTAGAAGGATCTTCACCTATATGTCTACCCTCCAACCAGACTCCTTTCCATCCCATTTTTGTCCACATTGTGCTGTTTCATGTCATAGTTATACAACGCTTCTCCAATGAATGGTGCTGCACATCTCTTTTTTATTTTTTTTAAGGCTATGGTGCCTGCCTATTACATTCCACCCTGTATGTATTACTATGTTTATTACAGGGTAAGAGCATACCTGTTCCAGAAGTAGTGCTATATCCCACAGATGTGCCAATTCTCGAAAGTGAGGATTGTGTTATACATTTGTTACCTTTTCATGCTGTCATTTCTGTTTATATTGTTGTCTGAAAAGAGGCTAGAAATGCAGGAAATGATATTTCTAATAGTTTTGGTTTTGAAGGACACCATACATCCTACGTTTCTAGGTAGATCATGACTAAAAGCACAATGTTGGGCTTCAGGCTCAAGCTCCCCTCACACTGACAGGACCCACTTACTTTAGTAGTAGAATCCACCAGCTGTTTACGATAATGAAAACACTGTGTAACATCATCAGTTGACTGTGTGTGTACTGTACATAGTGCTAGTTGTTTGCTTTTATAGTTGACATCTGTTGGAGCCACAAAGTTAAAAGTATGGAAGCTATTGTATTAGCTATAAAAGATTTTAATAATATTTGATAGCCTGGGGTCCAGTGTCAGAAATAGTGCACTAATGTGTGCTTCATCATTTGTCACTGGGAGATAAGCTACATATAAAGATAAGTTGGATCTGTTGGAAGATTGTCCTTAAAACAGGCTTCTTGTAAGGAATGTACCTTACTAAGATATTGGAAAACATTATAGAAAGACACATCAGTATACATAAAAGCCAAGTGTCGGTTGGTCAGTCAGTCGGTCACGCTCGATTTCTATGAGTCCAGTTATACTTTTTCTCCTGTAATTTTACCTCCTATGATTACCCATTCCATTTTGAGTTCAACTTAATCGCTAACATAAGCATAAATAGTTCCTAAATTTTGGCAGTTTTTCTGCTATATAAAAGCCTGTCAAGTAGAGAGTTCCCAGGACCAGATCAGACATGACATTATGTGTGTGACACCAGATCATTATGATGTCAAGCTAAGTAGGATCCAAATAAGAAAGCCGGAAAGACTCCAGTGAAAAATAAGTAAAATATTAGGGCAAAACTGTGCTTGGGAATTATTACAAAAAAGCATTTGTTAAAACAGACTGAAGATACCAATTATCTGTAGGGAAGAGGATGACTTTTCCTCAGAAGAAGAAAAGGTGTGTATGCAATTACATGGTCATCGTATATTTTAATCTTTTTTTCCAAAGGCACCAATATGTAGCATGTTTGCTCTGTTATATGTTTCCTGGGACAGGAAATTTTATATTTCTTTTATGTATTGCCAGTTTTATATGGAGTAGTTTTGGCTTCCAGTAGTTTCCCATCATTTTTTTACAGGCATTTACGCTAATGTATTTGTAAAAAATAGGCTGATTTTTTTAACAATGTGATACAAAAGTTGACTAAAACAGGTTGAATGAAACCACAAGATGAGGATTTTAGAACTTTAAACATTACAGGTATTTATAGCTACGCTATAACAGGCGGAGAACAAAATCTTTTTGGAAGCTGCTGGTGGAACACACTAAACACCCCATAATGAATTTTTAACATGGATTCTTTGTGTTACTAAAAAAATCAGTCAACACAATTTCAACTTTTGAGATCACTGTATTGTAGACAACAGTAAACAAATGAAAATGTAGTTCGTAACCATTATCTTCTTATGATAATAAAAGATACTAGAAAATATTGTGTTGGGTATTTTAAGTTTAATGTGACAAATTATTAAAATCTTTCAACAAATACTGGGAAAGTATATTTTACATAAAATTCAGTTATCAGTTGTTGTTTTTTTTTGTTTGTTTGTTTATTCTGGCCAAATTGCTTACCTCATTTGTTAATAAAAACTTTTAAGTTTTATTCTGTTTTCTAAAATAGTTATTGTTTTACATTTTGGTTTATTATCACCTTGCAAAGCCTTGCTTGTTTTTGGTCTCTTTCATATAGTAAATGCTTCATTACCACATTAATCTATAAAACATGCATATATATATCATATTTAATGCATAACATTTCCATAGATTTTAAATGAATGGTACAGTAAATGTAGTTGTAGTAGAAACTGTGTGCATGTACATAAATTTAGGTTAATTACAGGTGTTGTACTGTATACTAAGTAAAAAATAAATATATTTAAAATGCAAAAATATGTATAAATTTTTGTATATATAAACTTGAAAATCCTACAAGCAAACAAGAGATATGTTTACTTTTACATAAATGAAGTACATATGATGTATGTAATAATTGTATAACATCAGAAGTATAAAGCTGTCTTAGCACGTAAATAGGTCTTAACATCTTAGTATCCCATAAAAAAGATACATGTTCTTATAATGAAATTACCCAGTCATAAGTTACATGTAGATTTTTTAATGAATTCACTTTCAAAGATGTACAATGTAATTTTGTAATGCATTCAGTAAATGTAGCTTCATTCTATAGTACTAATAATGCAAATCATAAACAAAACGTACAGTCATTTCATTGTATTCATTGCAATCTGACAGAACATGCAGTCATCCCATTGTCTCATTGCATTCTGACAGAGCAAATACAGGAACATTTTCATTTAGTTGCCATTAAAATGATATAACTTTAGTTAATGATCAAAGAATGCACAGAATTTGTAGATGAAGATTGTATTTCATGTCGTACATGTCAATTAAATTTCCATTGTGAAAAGTAAAAGTCTCCAAGTATATAAAATGGGAACTTGAAGCTTCATAAGAAATTAAGAGTGGTAACTAGTCTATTTTGTTTGCTAATATAGTATTATTGTGTTTCAGCAGTTTGGAAGTTGGTACTGAAACTTCATAGAGTATAATAATGCAGGTTTATTTTGCACATGCTAGAATAAACTTTCAAAAGAATGTCTTTATAATGTGTGTGTGTGTGTTATATTCCTCACGTTTAACATAATATTCGTAATCTGAGAGAATTTCTTGACCACATGTAAATGGAAACAGACTGTTACTAAGATATATATGACTAATACATATCAATTTGTTTGACAAATATATTTGCTTTTACGAAGATCACCAAAAATGTAGATTCATTTTGGAAGCAACTATATGCAATTAAATCAAAATGAATAAAACTTATTTAAAAAGTGATATCATAGTGCTTAAGATAAACAACAACAGACCATCAAGACACAGCAGGTTATCAATGCAATGCACAAAGAAATGAAATGGTGTCGAAACAAATATATCCTTATACTTAAGTAGCAATTGTTGATTAAATTTACTTGTAAGTAATTAAAAGTTATGGGTAGGAAGGCAACAGTAATATACAGGTTAGAAAAACAAAATGAAAGTAAGAAACAAAATTCTAATTTCTTGTATATAATTTTCTTCTTTTGAAATATATTGATATTGTTTGTAGGTTTATTCTTCTATAAATGAGCCACAGAACCAGTTAATGTATTAGAAAAATTTTATTAAAACTTTATTCAGTACATAATACATTTCTCATCCTTTCAGACATACATAAAAAGATAGTTTTTCTGTAATCATTTAGACACAGTTCATAGATTAGAATATAAAAAAAGGACTTCTGTATAGGTGAGTCACGGAAACAATGCATGCTTGAACTAGTCTTAAAGGGACAGGTGGACAGCTGAGATAAATACTTTGAATTTGACAAACTATGTGGAATGTCTTGAGATATAACATTGGTAATTGATGCATCAGAAACAAGAACTGGAGAATGAGGGGTGTTGAAAAATGTTTGATTTTTAATATTTCAATAGGCTAATGCTCCAAGGTTTAAACTCACTTAAAAACCTCCACTAAAGATACTAAGATAGTTTATTGGAAAGACAAGGATTTTTACATGGAGCAGCACATAGAGACAATCCATGACAGTTTTGTACGAGCCGTCTGCTTGTCCCGTTTATCCATGCTGAATGGATTACATGTTCATGATGTGTTGAATAAAATGAGTGGAGGCATGAATTCACCTTTGCCAGAACCATCTGAAGACTTGCTGTTGTGGATTGATTCAAATCAAACATCAAGTAAAAAATTACGTAAAGAAACCTCAAATGAAAAATTGTGTAAATAAATGCTATCTTTTTTATCGGTATTTTTTATATTAATTTTAGTGATTAATGTATTTACTAATTGTTTTTGAAGGAAGTTAATATATTCATTATAAAGTGATATCCATTTACACCTGGTGCAACATTTAATTTAACAAATACGGTTCTTACTAGTATACTTGTAATAGAGATAGAATATCATTTTTATAGCAGAAAACCATAAATCATTAACAGCATTAACTCACTACAAATATTGGATATTCTATTATAGTTTCAACAGTATAAGAGGGTTACAAGTACAAATGCATAACAGGGACCACTCTTGAGTTTTGCCAGAATCATATTTTGTGATTTGTTTGCTTTTGTTGGTGACAATGTCTAGCACTTGTTGATTGTTTTTGCACCATATTTGATGCCATTAAAATTTTAACACTAATATTTCATTCACATCATAATTAGAACATGGTATCTGTTTACTTTACAGCTAAAATGACTGGTAGCTAATTTCATATGCTTACACATGCTGTATAAGTGTTCTTACAAAAGAGAAACAAATAATTAAGTTGACTCTTGGTTGTGAAAATTGGTGATAGAATCCTGAGACTGGTGCATTTTTGGATCCAACTATTTATGAGTCAAAGCAGTACTCATCCTAATAAAATCTGTAACTTATCGGTACAGGAACAGCATAAGCTATTTTCAGTTCATGTTAGTAACATCCTGAAGAATAGGTACTTGATCTCGATTTACACATAAATCATATATTTTCTATATTATCCTGCAAACATACATTTGATTTTTTTATATGTGTGTATTACAATGATGATGATTATCATGTAGTCCTGTGCATGAAAGATTCAATATGGTAGTGAATTGGTCTCCTGATTGGTCAGCAATAAGTTTATGAATTTACAATGCTAGAATCCTGGATTTGGTTCCCTTGGTGAACAAAAAGGATAGCCCAATGTGGCTTTGAACTAAAAGAAACTAACAAACAATAGTTGTTAATGGAATTCCTTATTTTAAGCTTATGTGACAAAATAATGAAATACATTTAAAACAAATTAACTTAACCCTCATCATTCCAAGGTATTATACAGTAACAAAAGTGAAAACTTGTAATTATACATTAATGGACTGATAAAGATGTTATTACTTAATGTTTTTGACAATATTGAACAAAATAATGTGCTTTGGATTGATGTGATGTTTAGTGTATAAAATATTTAGTACACATTTTCACACATTACAGATATTAATTTATATATTTTTTTCTTGGTAATAAGTACAATAGTTTTAGCATTTTGGGTTATTTAGAAGAGCATGAACTGGAAATAAGCCATTTGAAACATTGGATTAATTCTCTTATGATTTTCACATACAGTATGGATGGCAATGTGTTTCTTATATCAAAATGCAAAATAAACACAAGTATAAGTTCATATTACATATAACTCTTTCCTTTTGTGGATCCACAATAACATATTATTGTTTGGGATCATTATTGTGAAGTAATATAAATGTTGCATTGCTTAGTTTTCCCCCTAGTACAATGTGTTCAATTAAATGCTAACAAATTGTACTGTATGTTTAGGATGTAGAACATAATGAGATTATTATTATTAATGCCAATGTTGTATCAAAAAAAAAAGAAAGCTTCCTTTATACACTAGTCATTTGTATGAGTTAACAGACCCTGGTAGTATAATTCTAGTTTATTTTGGTATGTGATATTCTGTGTGTAGACTTGAACAAAATCTTAAAATGTTCTTTTTTCTATTCTTGCTCAGTTGAATTCTTCACTATTGCATATTGAAATATCTGCATGTAGTATTTTTTAATGAATATTTAGCAAAAAATCATCTCATAAGAAACAAGGGTTGCTAACCATTAAAAAATCACCTTCACAAACTTTTATTATATTGTGCTTAAGCTAATATTTCTTGTAGCAGAAACATTTCATATATCATTGGTTAAATGAAAAGAATGTTTTGTAAAATGGCAATTTGTTTTTAGCTCTAAGAAAATTTCTGATTTAAACCAGCTTATATCTAAAAGTGCCCCACAAATTTACAATAGACAAGTACTTTTCCTGTTATTGTGGAAGACTGGTACAATACACATTATGAAAAATTACCTATTTAAAACAATAACAGTTTAGTTAATAAGGTTAAAATGATATTTATTTTAACACTTATGATAAAATTATGTTGTAGATTTTGTACTTTTATTTCTGTCTCATATTGATTTTATTTATTACATGTAACAGCCGTTTCACATCCCAAATCATGTGCACTTCATTAATATGCAATCATCTTGACTGCCTAGTATCACGTAATCAACTCTAAATATATCTAACTAGAAATAATATAGTGTATTAATAGTATTTTCAAATTTTTTACATACACTGATTTTTTTTATATATATATATATAAGTTAAGAATTTTCTAGAAAAGTTGAAAGTTAAAATGACATGGCTTTGAGAATTACTTTGTTTTGTAATAAATCAGAAGAGAAACCAGAGCAATAGGTGTTGAAAAATAGTTGGTTAGACATGTGCTTCAAATCTTGCAAACGAAATAAATAAAACAAAACACAAAAGTTAGATCTACAACTAAAAGAAAGGTATTTAGAAACCTTTTATCTGAAGAATCTGTTCAGTATAAGAAAGAAATTATCAGTAAAGGATTGTGGATAGAATACTGATTTTGTAAAAAATTGATCTGTTTCAAGGAAAATATAGTTGAAAGACAAAATAATGTATTTATTTTAAATTTAAATTTAAAAACATAATAGTCACATTTTTGCCTTGTTAATAATATTCTTCTTTTTGTATTTATTACACCTTAGAAAAGGAACCGTACTATCAAGAAAAAAATGTGAGAATGTTGACTTAAACTTTAAACCTTTCTAGTCAAACTAACATAAGCTCAAGTATTGGTCAATTTTCAAAATCACATTCAAAATGAGCTTCACATTTCATAACATCGCAGAAAGATTATCCAAAAGTGTTATTTAAAACGGATACTTACATGTATTTTTTGATCATACAGAAACATTAAAAAAATACCATCATATTCATCGCAGACATTGTAATGTTGTAAGTTTGAAGTAACAATGAGGAAACATTTACTAAACAGTCCTTTGAATATTTTTTGATAGTAATATTACCAGTTTATTCCTCTGAACATTAAAAATTTTTGATTTTCTCATTAAATAAAATTCAGTCGATACATTTTCAGAGTAACTAAACTGGGGCATACAATAGAGGTGTCACCAGGTTCTTTCAATATGATATCAATCATGGTTTTCTATTCTGATTTTTCAAGACACCAACTAGAGATTCAGGGCATGGTGACTCATCTGTCATACAATAAGTAATGCTGATAAATGCTACTTTCCTCACGAAGTAAAACCTTGTATTTTACAGATATATTACATATTTCTTCAGAATTGAAGATAAGCTACTGTTTGTAAAATATTGAACACTTTACATTGACAGTACCAAGCCCACTTACAAGGTGTTACATATTACAAGACAGTGAACATTTCAAAATTTTAGATGCTCTGAAATGCATTCTGGTGAATTTATGATAAGAATTTAATAATAAAAATTCGGTAACTTTTACATCCACTGATTCTTACTTTTTTCAACTTGTTAAGCAAGTGAATTAACAAGCTCAAGAATTTTATACTTTCAGACCTTTATTTAAGTTGTATATCATTACATCCATTTGTTCTAGTTAAAAAAAATATATATATATATATCAAGTGTACCACTAAAGAGGAAATTTTTAATGTGGATATTTTCTTAGCTTATTCTAACTAATTATACAGCAAAATGTGCTGATGACTATCCTTATTTATTGAATGTTATTTTTAAGTTTATCATATTCACACATTGTACATAAATAAATTATTATTTATTGAAAACAAGCTATATTTTTTAGATATAAATGATCTTGATCAAGAGTATTTTTAGCTAACATATTGCTACCTGGCGAGACAAAGATGTTATATTTTATATGGTGAGGTCCAGGGTCATTGATTGATAAAGCTATTGCCAGTTTTTGCCTTGTTCTTTACAGTTTGTAGCCAAAGTGGTAACTATTATAATTGGTAAAATGGAGTATCAAAAGAAATATGTTCATAAATATCAATCTGGTTGAAACTGACTGAATATATAAAAAATGTAACTTTCTGATCAACAATGTCTCACAACAACGTTTTTGGAAATTTACAACCAAAAAGTTATAGAAACACTAATTCAAATTATATTAATTTTTTAATATATACTGTTTAGTAAGTTTGTCTGTTTCTTGCAACTTGGTTAAGTATTCTCACTATGAAAGAAAAAAACTGAAATGTCACTGACATCATTCCAGTCCAACCAAATTTGAAGCTTTCATTGGAAAATTATCATTCATAGTTGTTCTAGGAACAAAGTCCAATTTGAAATTACTAGTTAAGTCAATCATTGTCAGAATTGATACCATGAATGCTGAAGCACCTGTAATCCAAGTACTGAGTCACATTAGTTCTTGTAAGCAATATAGAAGGAATTACATACTTTATTAAATGATAAAGGACAAAGATATTTTTCTTTTTCTGTATTGTAGACAAACATATTATGGTAGGACTGTTTTATCATTCATCTATCCGAGTTTTTACCCATTTTCATATGAACTACTCATCCAAAAAATGGGTGGATGGGTCATTGGTTAAAAGCCTAGTATGTACTCAACTGTTGAAAAATTTTTATGTTAGTTTTATATTTAATTATGAAATTACACTTTATTTATTATTATTATTTTACCAATTATAGAGTTTTGATTCAAGGGTGTGTTTCTTGTTTTTTTTCCATAAGGTAGATTTTTCTCATAAAGCTTGAATTTTATAATAGACTAGCAGATGCTCATTGAAACAATTGAACAACAATTTTCCTAAAAATAGTGATGAATAAATATAAAAATGTGTAGTCAGCCTAATTCCTTGGGTCAGAGCACACATGCATTGTGATTGTCTAGTTGACTGTTTAAAACCATCTTTGTCATACTTTGTGTTATTTCAATAAATGAAAATTGCATTGTGTTTGTTTTTCAGCAAAGGAGACTGAATATGATGCATTGTTGGCAAAAATATTTTGTTTTCAAAGCATGTTAGCATGTTAGAGCGCTCAGCTTCACTGAGTAGCTGCTGTATTCCACCATACCTAGTGCATGGAAAAACCATTACAAAAATGAGTACTTTTTTTTACAGTTGTCATTTCTATGAAAAGTGTCAAAGGGGAAAATATTCAATTCAAATCAATTTATTCAGCATGATACAATAAAATAATGTATGTACATGATACTGATATGGGAAAAAATGTAAATATATAAACTGAATAACAAATATATACTCAAACATATTCCTTTCTTTATGTGCTCTTTTGTTTTCGTTCATGTTGCTATCTTCAAAATAGTTCTTTCAATCAGTTGAAGGAGGAAGTCCTTTTGTTGTTTTTTTCATGAAATTTCTTCACACTAAGAAACATTTTTGTCCTTAAGTTTTTCCTCAGATTTACTGTTTAGGCATATGAAAACTGATGGATTGATGTGAAATTTTAGGAATTGCAAAAAATAAATAATTTTTCTGTGCTCTTGAAAGCATTTGGATACATAAGTTATTTTTCTACGATTAACCATTCAAGAGATATAGAGCATGGGAGACAAACATTTGGTGATTTATATATATATATATATGACTACATCTAATAAATTCAACAATACAGTTAATTTTAATATGGATTAGCCATGATGAGAAGTTAAATTGAACTTTTAAAACTATGTATAGTATAAAATTATTTTTCATGTTAGATACATATCTTTATATTAACAGGTATTTTATTGTTTGCCTTGTGGTTAAGATATACAATATATAATATATTATTTTCTTTTTATGTAATAGGAACTATTTGTGTGAAGAAATAATGGTAATAGCTTAGTTGAGGAAACTTATAAAAGTTGATAAAGTACTGGTACTTAATAGATGTTTATTTTTATAGCTGACAATTAAATGTTAAACTAACAGTTTTGGTTTATGTAACTGTAATCATTTTATGCAAATATAAAATAAAACGTCTATTTTTAAGAAAAGTTTGTGGGCGTGATATCACTTATTGTCTTTCAAACATTAGTCATTTTCATTTTTACAGATTCAAAATACTTGTAGAAATTTATTTCTTATTTTGTTTTTTAATTGTAAATAGTAAGTATAGTGTTCAAATGGTTATTCCTGATAATTTTATTATATTTTCATTGGTCTTTTGAACCTTTGCATATTCTCCAGTGTTCCATCCTATGATCCTAATCCTTAATGGTAGCATGACATTGATTATTCCTGGAAGTAAGATTGTATCTGTAAAATATAAGATTTGGTCATATGCTTCTCTACAAGTTACAAAGTTTAATAGATCTGTGTTTTTCTGAAGCTTTTCTCGACTAGTTAAAGGTATAACAGGACCAACCTGTCTAAGTTAGTAGTTGGTATGTCAAATAATCAGTTATATTATTGAAAATATTTTCACTATACCAAATCCAAGAAATCATTTTGGGTTCTCATTTCTAGAATTATTTTTTAACAAAACTAATAGTACACTGTGATGTCAGTGTAGTGATACAACAAACTCATTGCAAAGGTTAAAAACAATGTTCATTACTTTCAATTTATTTATAGGTCACATTTTCTGTTATAGCTCTTGAGGTGGTTTGATAACAATAAAAGTTTCAATTGAATTCTGTGGGCAAAAGAATACAGTATGCCAACACCCAACAGTGTTAATATAGATATAGATTGAATAAAAGGAGTTGTTTTTCACACTATATGTGTCTTCTGGCCCCAGTTTTGACTTAATGAGGATTCTTCTGTAAAAGCAAACTACTGTATTATTCTTAAACTTGACTGAAGGGAAAAATGCATATAAATCTCATACATTGAAAAACTAATTTTCACAAATAAAAAAAATATCATTAAACTTGCAAGAGCTAATAATCGAATAAACACTTAAAATATTCCCCCACTGAAACTTTATTTGAAACTGAACAGAATTATTCTTCATAAGAGTTGATAAAAAACTTAAACAGATTGTCAAACTCAAATAACACTAGCTAGTTATAGCCTATAAAATTGTATTTTTGTTATTTAACAAAAATGAAATGCAACAGAACTTAAAAACATTTTATTATTTGTTGTTACTTTTTTTGGATAACCAGTTATATTTGAATTTTACAAAAAAGAAAACACTCGACTAGCTTTATATAAGATCCAAGAAAAAAATAACCATAAATTAAGTTTTAATCAATACAGTAAAAAAAAAATATCATAATGTGAACTGCTGTTAGAAATGCATGAATGAATGCTTGCTCCTCCAATAATTGAAGTATAAGTAAAATGAAAATGGGACGTGTCACATTGCGATGAATTATTTTTCGGGTAGCAGAGGTAGCTTAAAAATAAATATCTATCAAACTTATTATAGTAACAAATGGCAAATATCTGATGAAGTTTCCAAGTCTTAATCTAATGAAATATGTTTGCTTTGAATGAGTGATCAATAGTAAAGTATACCAAGCTATTGGAGTAAATGAATGTCAAGTATTTTTCTTGTTGAGCAATCTAACTAAGGAGAGTCTAAGTGATGCATTTGCTACAGATATAATATGCAAGCGAAATAAAATGTCAAGAAGACAACTGTGATGATGTTCCAAAACTTCCTTATTTTTTCTATATGCACGGTGGAATGTTGTTTCTGAAGGACTTAAAAGATCAAATCCTGTTACATTCAGTGAATTCACTAACAAGGAATAAAATAGAGCTAAAGCCTTACCTTCCATTATTGGGTATGCCAGGTCAGCCTTATTGGGAGAAAACTGGATGACAATAGAAGAAAAACATCTTTGTTTTGAAATATGTTCAATCTTTGATTATCAGCATTCTATTATCTGAGATTGTATACATTCCTTTTTATATAGTGAATGTTTCAGAAGTCTTTTACAGGCAAATAATTCAAAAATGGAAAAGTACAGGAAAATAATTGTTAGAGATATGAAATGAGGAGTTGTGGGTAAGTTATAAAAATCGCTTTAAAACAATAACAGTTATAGGCATACATTAAGACGAGATAAACATTCTAACAGTATTGCAAACAATCGATAGCTGTTTTCAAAGTGCTGCCCAAATGGGACAAATTATATATGGCAGCTTCATTGTCAGTATTGGTCTGCATATGCTATCATTTCCTATCATCTGATGTGAAGAATGAAGTTTGTCTTGAAACAGTTCAGCATACAGTCTGGCAGCAGCCTGAGCATTCTGGTGACAAACTCCATGCAATAGGACTTCAGTTAGTAGCTTAAGAACTTCTTTTTGCCACACAGTAATGAGGCTAATCTTGTGAGGATTCACAAAAAAAGGCTTCCAGTCACACCTCGCATTCAACTGTCACATATACCTCAAACAGCTGAAAAGTGGAAAAAACAGTAATCTTATTTATAAGTAACTATGGATCTCTGTGTGATCAGACTGTTAATACTGGTACTGGGAATGCAATTATTTTTATACACTAGATGGATTATGGAAAGTCTGTGGGTACATGTGGTGTACTTTGGACATAGCCTTATGAGAGTGTTATGCAATGGAAACTATCCTGCAGGACTATTGTCAAGGTGTGATGGATTTACTATCCTATGTCTATTTTAATATCGATGTTTGTTTAAGTTAAACTTGTATGTAGAAATTTCCATAACTTATATTGTTAAATCTGTATTGTGAAATTCCTGCCTATTCACTAAAATTGTAGAAAATTCTCATGTGTAAGAATCAACAATATATGTGTGCACATAGATACTGGTGTATCGTTTATATTGTTGCATGAGCTGAAATTTCGAGAAACTCTCCTCACGCCTATAAATATAATGAATGCAATGCATCAAAAGACAGTATATATTATTGGTTTGCTATAGTTGGTATACTATAAACCTCGGAAGCTATAATTGTGATTGTTATAATGCTTATTAATCAGGAACTTCAGACATTTGACCAGGAACATTTATAGATTTTGAATATTACAAACCATTTAACATCAGCAGATTCACATCGGACATTAGTATTTTCATGAAAACATTATATAACTTCATCAGTGGACCACTCTGCATGTGTGGCCAGCAAAGAACAGAGCTAGCTAGCTCCCTGTTATGTGAATTGTATCTACATTGATTCAAAATTAATTCACTCATTTTCAACCCTCAATAAAATATCAAGGAAGTTCCAGACCAGATAGAGAACTCAATATTGTTTGTAAGTTTGTAAAACTTTTGTATATAGATCATTATTTCTAATAACCATTATTGTAAATTGTGTTATTGTTTGTATATTAAAATATATTTGTATTAAAAAAAAACAACTGTGTATCAATCTTGTTTAGGGCCTGGCATGGCCAGGTGGTTAGGGCGCTCCACTCACAATCTGCGGGTCACGTATTTGAATCCCTGTCACACCACACTTGCTCGCCCCTTTCAGCCATGGGGGGCATTATAATGTTACGATTAATCCCACTATTCGTTGGTAAAAGAGTAGCCCAAGAGTTGGCAGTGGGTGGTGATTACTAGCTGCCTTCCCTCTAGTCTTACACTGCTAAATTAGGAATGGCTAGCGCAGAAAGCCCTCGTGTAGCTTTGTACGAAATTAATAACAAACCAAACCAATCAATCTTGTTGGCAAGTATCATAAACTGGATAAATATTGACATTTATTTAATTTCTAAATCTAAATTATCATTTAACTCAGTTTCAGACTATTCAAAATTATAATACGTCTTTTATGTTCTGAAAGTGTAGCTTACAGTTGATGATGTGTTTGCTCACCATGTATATATACAGTTAGTCTAAACAGAGAATCTTGTATGCAATTCCAGCTTGCAGTAACTTATCAAGGGTATCCATTGGATGAGATCATATTTGTTTCAGTACTCTGAATGGCATGAACACAGTTCTTATAAATGGCTACAAACTTCTTAGTTTTTTCTGAAGTACTTTTCTTAAAAGGAATAATCACAATTTAAAAGATTTATTATCAGTCATAATTTCCTTATTATTAGAATTAATGTAGATATTTTTATCAGACTATTAAAAAATCTGTGAGAATATCCATTCATTAATAGACAACAAGGGATATGCTTTTTTTTTAACCAAATGTACATGGGATTGGGCCAACCCCATACTGGGGAAGGAATGTTGACTGTAATTCTGAAGTTACTACATGTATTTTCACAAAGTTGGCAAGCTTCTAGTAAAATGTGCAAGTCTGTTGTACTCAAAACTTATTTGTACTCAACATATGTCTGTATATTGACATTAGTATGACTAGGACTCTGACAAGTCAGATTGCAAAATCATGTTCATGTGAAGAATAAAAATATTTTTATCTATCATACATTTTCATATTGTACTTGCATAACCTATAGAATCTCTCAAATGCATATCTATTGTTTTTCAATATCCCTATGTATTGTATTTGATATTTACCACAAACTGTAACTAAACCAACAGTGTAGGGTAAAATACATAGTTCATAACTTTAACATAATACCGTGTTGAATGGCACTCTGTAAAAGGTTGTGACATATGAACTTTGACTTCCCCCTCTCACATGTGTACATAAGGTTAATTTGTACCATTTTTCACTACAAAATAAACTTGTACTGAGTAACATGCTTAATACTGCTGATTTTTACACCTGAGGGTGATGTTAGTTTAAAATTTAAATACCCACATGTGTGCATAGGTTTATAACAGATTTCAGTAGAGAGTCTTCAATTCTCAATACGAGTAATCAACATAAATTGAATTTTCTTATTTTGATTATTTAAAGTAAAGCTATTTAATATTTTCATTATCATGAACAGTAATATACTGAATATCACCAACTAGCTATGCATTTCATAGCTTGTTCATCAATCTTCTCCATTGTTGGCTAAGCTACTACTGAAACAACTATCTAACCATCTTCTTCCTCTGTCATTACATGTTTGTGTCCATTATTCCCCCTCATAGCATACACTTGATTCTAATTTTTCCCTTGCTAATAAACTTGAATGACCAATGTTTTATAACAGCCTAACCTATGAAACTATCTTGGCCACTGTGGCACCCATTAGACATGTATCCACTATTATGCCTCTCTTGAACCCCACATATCTATGCCTTTACCCATATGTTTTAGACTGACTGCAACATGCTTGTCCCACTCAAGTAGAATGTTGTATAGGTAAACTAACATATTGTATGATCAATCAAATTTACATTTGTAGGTAAGTTCAGATCCAAAGTCTGAAATTGTACACAGTTCCTAATATAGTGGCCAGCCAGTATATATTGGTACAGAGTTGAAAAATATTGAAGTTTTAATTATAATACTCTTATTATTTTCATAACTTGCATACATATACATATAGTCTGTGCAGTTCTTGGTTGATTAGTTTCAACACGTTTATGTATTATTGATAATTAAAATATTTTTAAACAAATGTATATTGTAATTAAAATTATTGCATACACTATATCTATTGGTTTTGGTAAATGTGTCTTTGCTATTTTCAATAAATTATTGATGTGTGATCCTTCTGTTCTTTCATTAGAATTAATTAATATAATATGTGCATACTAATCTTGAGATAATATGCAAGAATGAAAGTTTGCAAGAGAAGCAGCAGTAACTCTGGCCATAGAACTTGCAAAAACATTTAATTCAAAACAACCTATGATGCTGTGATTAGTTTGGTAAATATTTTGCTGGTATGGATGATACTAGATTACCCAAATTACAAAATTAAATATCATGATTAATGTTTATTTTATTTGTTTGTTGAATTTTTTTACAAAATTACTAGAGGAATGGCAGCTAGTCAACACCACCCACTGCCAACTCTAGGGCTACTTTTTTTATCAGTGGATAGTGGGATTAACTATCACATAAAACCCCCACAGCTGAAAGAACAAGGACATTTGGAGAAGTGATATGAACTCTCAGCTTGTGAGTTGAGTGCCCTAACCACTAAAGCATGCCAGACCTTGATGATTTTTTTTTTCAAGTGTTCAAATAAAATTAAAGTAGTGCACTTAATAATTGGACTCAGTAATTTTTATTGGATAATAGACTAGGTACTCAGGGTTTAAGGAAGTTCTTGCTCATAAATATGTTTTATAATTATTAACCGTACATTTTCAGTGTTTATTAACATCATCTTAGATTGAAGTATCCACCAATCACCATGATAGGAAACTGAACATAAAGGAAACAACATTTGCATACCCATTGACATATGTTATTTAATGTACTAGTATTTTTGGTTTTAACCAAGTCTCAAAATTAACTTCTGAAAATGTATTTTCAATAGTTATGCCAACATAATACTGGAAATAGGTAATATAGTTGGAATGCATATTAAATCCCAAAAATGCCATTTTCAAAGGCACCTCATTCAGACTCGGTTAGGAATAAGCTTCTGAAATTGATGTCATACACAAAAGAAATATTAAATAAAGTTTATTCTAACACAGACATGTGATAGTTACATCTGTACACAATGGGTTTTAGAAACACAGTCATAAGACACTAGAAATAGATTTGTATTATACATGACATGAACAATGGTACAGTAATGATGAGATTAAAGATCAACAAGAATAGATTTTTCAGGCCAAATAACGAATGGCAAACAAATAGTTAAAACTATACACATTTGGCATCTTAGTAGTTGTTAGTGGACTATATCTATAACACCTTCTTTCTAATTATTTGAGACAGGTCAATAAATGTGACTGTTTTACAGAGACACTGAAAAAAAATGTACATAGCCAAGGAACTTGAATTTATTTAACAAACCTGTATTTTTGATCATAAACTCATTTCTGTTATAAAGTTTTGTGCTTGTCTCAATTCTTTTGAGGATAATTACTTTTTTCTTTCTACAAAGCTCTATATTTCCAACTGAATGAACTGTTGCTGAAATGTGCTTCATAACATTAACATTGTTTTTATTATATTCAAGTCCCCACACACAATGAATGACTATCTCAACCTACAGTAATAATCTGTACAAAAATTTTAACATTTACTTTGAGTCCAAACTTCAAGTTAAGAACTCAGTACTTCTGGTTCAAGATAACTGAAGATACATTCTGCTTAGAGGATCCATATTTTGGGAGAAATATGTAAATAACACTGTTTCTACTTGGACAAACATATATACAATGTTAAGAATAAGTCATACCTTCATAAGAATAAAATAATCCTGCTTAATTAAGCCTTGGTTCATATTTTATGTACTTTTTCAGTTAGTTTTCATACATTTTACGAGAAAGAACTAGTTGAATATATACAATATAGAAAACAATTACACTATTAATACAGCTATGCATATGTACATGGTCCTTCATTAAAACAGTGTGTATATAAACTGTACTAATCAAAATTATGTTCTTAGTCAACATCTGATTCAGGTGGTCCTGCTAAACTAGTTTTAGTATTATCATTTAAATGTGCACATTATGGCACAGGTTTTTATTACATAACTCTTCAGCGTGTCTAACATCAAGAAATTTTTAATAAAAGCTGGTTTAGGTTAAGTGCAGAAACAAGAACTAACTGTAAATTTTAAGCATTTCTAAAAAATATATTAAAAACATCAGTGTACACATAGCACTGAAACTCTGTAATAACAGATAACAACAAATATGCCTATAGTAAAGAACTTTCTCAATGGACACTTGTATTTGGATATAATGCCCATTTGCTCAAAAAAGTATATCTATCATTTGCTTAGCATTGGATGCTGCTTGCAGAATTTGGGATTTAAGATTAATTTTGTTATCATTTAATATCATTGTATGAACTTAATGAAGATAAACTGTTACTTTTTTACAGAGGATAAATTTTATAGGATGACAGAAATTAACCAATAATTCAAATGTGTGTGAACAAACAAAGTGTAATTTTACTTCTTGTTGTTTTCTTCAGGGGAATACTTATAATTTTCAGCTCACATTATCAAAGGGAAAGATGCAAATTTTAAGAAGTGTGAAAATAAGAATACAAGCATAATAAGAATTAATTTAAAAAAAAAACTAGTTCAAACTCAAAAAAATATTGGATCAGCCAAACCATGTCCAGTGTGCATTATCAGTAATAAGTCATCTATTACAAACAGAAACTTTGTCTTTAAACAGTTAATTTTATAAAGAATCAGAAGAAAACTTTGTTTTGGGAGTTTACTATAAAGCATGAAATTTTTAATATCTCTAAGTATTTTTGAAATAAACATAAATTGGTTGGAAAAGGGGTAAGTAATATAAGTGCCATTTGCATTAAAATTATCATACAAATAATATTCATAATGAGAAAAAATATTTTATATAATAGCACGCACACACTTCGAAAGTTTAGAAGAGTGAAGTTATACTTTCTGTTATAAAGATATGTATGCATATTAAATAAGTTTTTAGTAATAAATCATGTGTATTAGTGAATAAAAGAAGTGTGATAACAACACTGAAAAAATGACTTCATCAAGTTCAACAGAGTTCAGTACATATGTATGACATTCAACTATCAACATTACCTTATTCTGTATCCACTAAAACTGACCTCAATTACGTGTATTAATTTCCTATTATTTTCATAAACAAATTAATAAAAGGGGTGCTTAATAGGTCTTAGTCAAAATAAAATTATCTGTATAGTAAAAATAAGAGATTTTTTTATTGGATTGTCAGTCAAATAAAAATGAAAGTTACATAAGCAGGAGCTATTTTGAAAAGTATTGCAAGCAGCTATACAAGGCATTGTCAATTGAAAAAAAGCAAAAATTAAACGTTTTCACAGCTGTGTTTACCAGTTTACAAAAACCCTACCTGTTATGGTGGATTATTCATTTTATGTACAAAGCTGATGAGAATATAGAGCTTATATATGACAGGTTCCATCAACTCATCTTGGTTCCAGATGATTCAAAATATATATCACAAAAGTTCACAAGCAAGCTCTTCCTTGTTGAAAAGTTTCTAAGGAACATAAATGTATAGTTCCATGTACAAAAGGGAAGATATCTATACATACTCCTGTTTTACATTATGTTTTGATAATAACATTGAAAGACCATGACTAGTTAGAGACTATACATACTGTTGATGACTTTCTTAATTAAACCCGCCTTTTAGAAAAAATGTTATTAATCTTGGAATGGAGTAAATAAGTGAATCACACTTATTGAATCAGACTTTTGTCTCGGGACCTTCTGTTCCATGTTTGAAAGAGTCTCGAAGACAGATGAGTTGAAGGGCACAAATATGACCAAAGGCCTTGTTGTACCATTCTGGTGACCTTCCTCTGGTAAAGTAAAATAATGCTTTATTATTAGATAAAGAAGTGATATATTCACCATTCTCATAGCATGCACAACAACTTATATGTCATGATTTAAGTAAACAATAACTGCATTTAACCATGTATAAAAACAGAATTAGAATTTTTAATTAATGAAACATTTTCTACTTATTTTGTTAGATGATTTTCATTCTCATTTCAATGAATAATTTGCTTTAAGTATTCTACTCACTTAACAATTAATATCTAATTTTTCAATTTATCATCTTACAGGTTTTATAAAGTTTCCAAAGTGTTAAAAAATCTGAAAATACCTAAGGTTACACAGAAAACACATTAAACACAGATGTAACTGAAATGATAACTTAATTTTATTAAGTTTCCATGAACTAAATACCACAAAGTGATTTCTGAAATTTCAGCAAACTAATCAATGTCAGAACTTTAAAAACAATCATGTTTGTACATGAACAATAAATGCTAATGGCAAATTTTCAGCACAAAATCTTGTGATTAGAATTTATGTGATTTCAAAATTCAGATATTAGAAACACTAGTTTAATGTTTTCATTGTTTTAATCACTTACCGAGTGTCCACTCGACTGATATGAGTCAAACGAGACTTGCCTGCACCACATGGTTCAACTAAGAAATGTGAGGCAAGGACAACCCCTCGTACACTGCCTGGTAACGGAGGAGCATCTGGATGATCTATAGATGTTTCAACAAGCATACAAGAACCTTTGGGTGAATCAGTTCTCCAGGATCTAACAAAAAAGAGAGTGCATAATTAACAAGATATTTTCTGAATATTGTGGTACATCAATTAAATTCATTCTGTGAAAGATAAGAGGATTAAGTGCTACTTAATTATTGCTATATTTTTTCAGAAAATCTAACTTTGTATTAAGAACTACACTGGTAATTAGAAAAAAATTTACATGGAGAACTATAGTTGTAAGCACAGATACAATATTAGTACACCTTGAAAGACATTCTTCTAAAAACCTTTTAAATACAATAGGATTATTCTTAACAGTAATGTTAATAAATAGCTATAACAGAATTTTTAAATTATACTCAACATAGCAAGAACAGATTTTTAGAACATCTGGTTCTTGAGAATATAAATAGTAAGGGTCTTTTAAGTGGGAAGTCTGTATATCTAATTTCTAAGTCCAACAAGTGTCTGAGTCCCTGGAAGCGAAAACCCCTCATAAATGTAAAAATGGTCAAACTCCAGAAAACTCACCTAAGAACACAATAATCACGAGGTGGATGTGGACCGAGAGAGTTACAGACATGGTGGAAAACTTCACATTGGTTATCTAATCTACACACAACTCTCCATTTAACTAAAGAATCATCCCATACATTCCTGGAATATGAAAATACAAGTATAATGTATTTTGATTCAGATTCATTTATAATTATTGTACAAATTGGGATCATAGTTTGCCTCAGATAAAACAAATTGTTGACCCTTTTACAAGTAAAACATAACACACTAAAAAACATTCACTTTCAATGTCAGTGTCAAAACTTTTTAGATTCACAAATCTTTATCATGCAAAGTTTTCAAAAATCTTTTAGATCTAACACTAAAAAGCACCTTTCATGATTTCAGTTTTAAAAATTCACACCTAAAAAACAACTTTTTACCCATTTTAATTAAAAAGAAGATTTAAATATATTTACTAAAATAAAAAAAAATTAACATTTACAAAAACCTATTGAGTTTTTTAACAGATATTATGCTCAGTATTCAATTAACATCAACAAATGTATAAGGTCTTTGCTTAAATGTTCATACCTCTCTCTCAGTATCCTGTTCAGTACTTCTAGTGGGGGAGCTTCAATTTCTACAGATACCTTCCATAGCCTCAATGGATGTCCATCATCTACTTTTTTATATGATACTTCCACACAGTCATTATGAGGAACCACCAACCAACTTTTGAATTTGTCACGTGCTTCCTATGAAACATATTTAAAAGAAATTTTTCACATACACCGATATGCACAAAAATTAAATGCCTCCCCTACTCTTTTCATAATTATGAAACAGATAAAATACTTGAAACATTGCAAATTTTGAAACAAAGCAGCAATGTGCTCTAAAACTCAAATAATTAAGGTTAATACGTTTTTCTTTATAATTCACTGATGTAAGTGTTAAATGAGGAAATAAATGTAACTTCTTACAATTAAGATGAATATTCTTGACATTTCCATTAATTTTAATGGTTCCTATATCATTCATATATCATTCAAAGGAAAAAAAAACTAAGCAATTAATCTATTTGATGTAAATCATACTAGAGATGAAAGATGGATAGTCTGATGTCTTAATGTTGCTAATTTACCTTCTGTAATCCCTGTAGGTACATTTCAACATGGGTTTTCCAGTTATAGTTTCTCGGATTTGTCAGGCTTCCAAGTTCTTCTAATGTTGGAGGTTCCAATTGTTCAGCATTGGCTAGTCTGAGGTTGTCCTCTTTTACCTAATAAACCCATAATTAGTAAAAAGACAAAGGTACTCAATTATCCAAAAGTTTTATATTAAAGATGTTATATTTGTTCAATGCATCATGAGTCCACAAAATAAATAACAGTCTGTTACTTGAATTATTTGATTTTATGCAACAAAAATTTAAAGATGTTATTTCTTTTATGGCTTGTTTGTTTTTTTGTAATTAAGCACAAAGCTACACAATGGGCTATCTGTGCTCTACCCACCACGGGTATCGAAACCCGGATTCTAGCATTATAAGTCCGCAGACATACCGCTGTGCCACTGGGGGACTCTTTTATGGCACAAGTATTTAATTTTTTCTTATTGCTAACCTTCCTTAAGCCTGAACATTCTGGCTATGAGGTAATGAAATCTACTAAAGACTCATCCAGTAGTTATATAAAAAGAGAGAGTATGTGTTGGACTTAATTATTTTGATAGTTTCCCTTTTGTATAGTTAAATTTCCTGAAAATTAGTGAGAACGTCTTTTAAAAACATATTTCCTGGGGAATCTGTTAACATTAATTTTAAATTATATACTGCACACTATATATATATTTGGCTTCATAAACATTTAAACATAACACGATATCATTACACATTAGAAGCAAAATTAGATAAAGTTTATTTTAAACTATGCAAATTTTAAAAGTTAAATTTTGTCGTACCGAAAACAGTTGCCTGTAGTTGTTAATCATATATGTTAAGCACTCATGGGCAGCACGGTTCTCACTGAGCTCTTTTTGATCTGGAACTCCAACAACTTTCCTTCGCCTTGGACTGGCACTAGCACTTCTTGGAATTGTTAGGTGAAACAGTGATGGTGCAAAGCACACAGAAAGGTTTGTAGCTGTCATCTGTAGGTTCAAGTGAAACATCGGATAAATATAATGAAAAACTAATCGTGTAAAAAAATTTTTATCAAAAACCTTTGTGTTTATATTATCCACCACACTGTACTGTAAACAAAGGTCAATTTAATATTTTCTAAATTAAATTGTAGGTTACAGATATTAGTTTATCTGTAATAATATCAATTTAATAACTAGTGCTTGGCATGGCTAAATGGTTAGTGTGCCTGACTATGGATTTGAGAGTCTGTTATCAAAACATCATGCTCCACCCTTTGGGATTGTGGATGCATTATAAGAATGTCTATCAAATCCCACTATTTGATTAGAATAACCCAAGAGCTGGTGGTGGTGGGTGTTGTTGACCAGCTGCCTCTTCATTAATGTGTCAGTTCAAAGTTAGAGGCAACTAGTGCAGATAGCCCTTATGTCTAACTTAAAGTGAAAATTCAAATCAAATAAACACTTAATAGTTAAACAAAATCTTACCTGGTTTTCATCAGAACACTGAGAAATTTCTTGGAGGAATGCAAGCAGAGACTGCAAAACCTCACGATTTTCATCAGGCATCAAAAGAATAGCAGCTTGAATTGCTTCTTTCCGATTCTCCACTGGTATATCTGTAAAGAAAACACTTATTTGTAGTAGTGATTACAAATGAAACACAGAAAAGAAATTAAATCTCTCAGTGTCTATTTTAATAAAGACTATGTGCAAAAGAAATCTTTACATGTTCTAAAATTCCACATTGAATAGTAAGATTTCTAAAATAATGAAAATAAAAAGAAACATAAATATCTTAAACATAGGTACATAGAGTAATATAATGTAAAAGAACACAAAATTGCGTAGATTTAACTCGAATAAGAGTATTTATTAAAATTTAATAATCCAAACCTTTTCAGTAAGCTCATACTACTAGATACAATATAGTTTTCTTATTTTTATAACTTATTTTGATGTGTACACAACTCATTATAAGATGATGCAATGCATTTTCAACTTTCTTTATGTCTTAAAATATATCATAAACCTACTGATATATAATTCAAGGAAATTAGATATTTCTAATTGGTTATATTTTGGTTTAATTTTATTATATCTTTAAAAGACTTTAAGCAAAACTTATGCTTTGAAATGTCTACAAAATAACTTGGGCTTTCTCATTCATATTAAGACTGGTGAATGTCAAATACTAATTTGTTTACCATGTAGATATTTATTTTTATAGAAAAAAGGCTTTTAGATTAAGCAGTCTCTTTAGCTTTCAGAATAATTAATATGCACAAGCTACTAACACTGGAAGATACTGATAAATGTTTCAGATAGTTTATTGGTCAATAAAGCATCTGGTAGTTCTCTAAAATATTGTTTCAGCATATCTGCAACATCATAGGCTTGCTGGTTTTCATAACTTATGTTTCTTGGATTGGAATCATTCAAGTTTCTCAACTTTTGAATGCGAGATCGTACTCCTGACTTTCGAAACAGGCCAACAGCATTTAAAGCTGTCTTCCTAAGGTAGCGAATAGCCACCTGAATAGAAGGAGGAAGAGGCTGTCCTGTCCTCTGAAGAATCAAAAGTAGTGGTACACCAAACACAACCTTGTCTGTAACACAAGAAACAAAAACCATTAGTGTGTAGTTATTTAAAAATTGAGATAAGGAAATTGTATTTATATACATTAAGTACTAAATTAGTAAATTAAATTATGGTTCTTTAATATTAAATTTTTAACATATTTACCTTATATACTATATTGTATGAAACATTATTAATCATGACTCATTTTATTTTTATGTTTTATACAAAGCAATATAGGAATAATGTCAAATTTTCATTATAGGAAAGCCTTTGTAAATAACCTAATTTTAACTTTTTCAACTTTGATGAAACCAGCAGATATAATATAATGTCCTAATATCCCCAACAGTGCTTCAGTTGTATGTGTACATTAAAGATTTATTTTTCATCAAAGGTGAAACTGAAAAGAGAATCTCTGACAAAATGTCATAACATTATTCACATACCTAAATTAATTTAGGCTACTATATGGTGAATTAAAACAGCTTCAAAGCCCCATAGTGTTTCAGTTATTCTTTCAACAATCATTGTGTCAAAACAAAAATACTATCAAAATATATTCAGCTTAGACTTCAAAGTTTCTTTTGTAAGTTTTCTTATTTGATAAGCCAGACTATTGTGCTTGAAGTTCAAATGTTAATCAATGACAAGTTCATTTCCAATGCACTTTCTCTAAAGTAGAAAAGTGTTTTTTAATATGAGCAATTATGTATATCTCCAGATATTTACTACCAGAAGAAATAAACTGTTCTCCTGGCTGCTTCATGTATTATATTATCTTAGTTAAATACCTAATAGTAATTAAAGTTTAACAAGCTAGAATTGTTTTCTAATTTAATTCCATTTTAATTTCTATAAATGTAATATACACTTATGCACTCAGTATTGCCAAGTTTACCTTTATAGTCTGGGGTTCGTATTTTACGAATGAATTTCGGAACACCCCAGTTCCAGCCACTTCGGCTTGTTGGATTGTACTTTTCCATAAGTGATGTTAACTTCAGAAGTGCTAGCTTCCTCAGCTTCATTAACTGTGAAGCTGATAGACTGCTAATATGAAGGCCATGTGATGTTACTGTTCGAATACTAACTGAGCTTTGACGTCGAATGGATGGAAACCAGTGCCACCTAATTTGTGATGTTGAACTCCTTTTGTTCAAAAAAAAAGTTATAATAAAAACAAATTACCACACACACAATTATTGCAACCATACAGTAAATCATTTAGTGAGAAAACAGATTAACACATCTAAAAATACTTACTAAAACATATATCTTGTGCATTATAAAGACTTTGTTGGTGTTTTTAATATGTTTAACATTATTTAACAGAACAAAGTATGGGAATAAATAGTTGAAATCTAGATTTTAAAGACCACTTTAATTTGAAATTAACAAGTTATGTTATATAGATAGCCTAAGAAAAAATTAATAATTCCACACGAGTTAAGTCAACTAAAAATCAGAAATATTTCAAACTTTCTGGGTCAATTAATTTACACTTGTAAAATTACTAAAGGCAGATCCTAATAAAAGTGGCAGTTAGTTCCTACAGAAAACAATGCTTAATAATTTTCAAATCAAAATAAATTCAAAAAGGCATCAAAGAAAAAACAGTAATACATATGATCCTTTTGTGTGGTAAAAATAATCACGTGTTTGATCATCAAATGATTTAATAAAGGAAAGATTCTGAAAATAATGTGCATTGATTTTGTTTCTAGCTTACAGGGAAATGATTTTTAAAAATGGTATCAAGATTATAAATCTTCATTAAAGCTATTTTATTGCTAATGTATTAGCTTACTGAACATACAAAGAGCTTCTAGTGAGAGAAGAACCAACTCCAGAATCTCGTCTTTCCCTTGTTGATCTTTCAGTTTCATCTTGTGAACTGTTTACCTCCATTTCAAAGTTATCAGGAGTAAGGGAAGTGTAAAACACGCTATTGGATTCTGGAGGTGTTTGATCATCATTTGTTTGGCTTAGAAATGGAGCTGGAAAAAATCAACATTTTGCATTACTAACAGAGTATTTGTAAAGAATTTCCCATTTAATATTTAACAGTCAACAAATTCATTTGGTTAAAATATTCCAAACCAACAAATGGAACAATAATTGTAAATTATTTAACTCAGATATTAATTTGTTAATTGTGTTAAGAAAATGTTAAGCGAACAACAAGTCCTTCCAAAAACATTTTCTCATTTAGCTATTGAATCATACAAGTGTCATAAGATTTTCTTCTTTTTTTCTGTGAGGAAGCAAATCTATTTTTGAACTCCTAACAAGTAAAAAAAAAAAAAAAGAAATCTGTCTCTCATATATTAACATACAGAAGTTTGGAGCTTATAGCTTTCATGGTTACAGTACCTGCCCACAAAGCAAGGATACAAGTTCATTTGAAATCTGGTTTGTATACATGTCAGTTCTACAGAAACTTCACAAAATTACAGAGGAAAGCAATCCTTCTTTAATGATTCCAATTCTCAGAATTATGGAAACTGTCTTTATATAGTACATTAACCATTGTATGTAATTAACATGAAATTTGTAGTTTATATTACTCCTTATCTATATTTTGGTTCACTTATAATACTCCTTATCTATATTTTGATTCAGTTATAATAATTGTTCAAGTAAAATTTTTCATAATATAATTTGAGAGGTTAAGTTTCTAGGAATATATTTATAATTTATTTTGCTATTCCAGACATAACTTAAGATCTTGGAACCATATTCTAGAACTATACATATCAGTATAAAATTTACTAAATCAATCATAAAAGTACAATACCTGTAAATATTCTATTTAGCCTATTAGTTGTCTGTTCAACTGAGGAAGTCCGACTGAGAACAATGATTGGATTTGATGTGCTGTTGACTTGTTTGGTTTGTTCTTCATTTCTTTTTTGCTTAGAGATGTCTGTTGGCAGATGCTTTACTGGTTTATTTGAAGAGTTATTGTCAAGGTAACTTTTGTGGAATTTTTTATTTTTATAACTGCAATTCTCATTCTCTTTAATTCCACTTAAATCTTTACCAAGAAATACATTGTTGACTTTATTACCTGGCCCACTTAACTGTTCTTTTTTGCCATATTCTGCAATATTACTGTTTGCATCTTTCAAGTGACGACTTAACTTTGGTGTTGAAGACTCAGAATCACTAAAAGCATTCAAGTCATTCACCTGAGCAGTGTGCCACTTTGTTTTGTGTTGTAATTGAGGTGTGCTCTGTTGACTTCCATCAGATTCTTCATCTTGAAGAGAACTATGATCAGATGAAGTCTCTTGTGAAATTTTATGGCAAGACATCTGTGGAGAAGGAGCCAAACTGCTAGCTGAGCTTCTTTCTCCTTCACTACCTGGTGATGAATCACTAGCTAGTCCCCTAGAGATGTGTTGCTCTCCATCAACTACTGCTTCCTGATTCTTCTTTTTATGCTTTACTTTAAGACTTTCAATCCTCCTTAGTAAAGCTTTCGCACTGTCTTTAAACCTTTCACTTCCATTACGGTAAAAATTTTCAATACCATTTTCAGAAAGATCTGATGATTTCTCAGAACCACAACTAGTTGATTCTCCTGACCCAGAAGTAGAATGGTCTTCATCCATTGTGACAGGCAAATAATTATGAGTCATCTGTTCTTCATAGTTTGCAGAAAATGCTCCTCCTAGACTATCAGGACTACTCTGGTTATCGTCCACAAACACACTATCATGACTACTTGTAAATTGGTTGTCAGGGATATAGTCTTTTGAGGTGTTCAGGTGTTTATTGACAGCAATGCTAACTTCCAGAGGTGAAGGAATTCGAGACCATCTTCGATTAGTTAGCTGAAATTGCCAGTTTTCACTAAGTGCACACTGTTCTTCATCACTTTCCTCAAGAGGTTGAATCTAAAAATAGTAAAATTTAAACTAAATGTGCTAAAAAGTTACTTTTGAGGTAAAAGAATGATTTAATTACAGAAATAAAACCATACATAAATTATGAGGAAAATCTTTTATTTATGTTATTATACAGAACAACTAAACTGAAATTGAATTCATTTCATGAGAGCTAATTGCCACCACCCTGTTTCTCTTGTCAATTGTAAATTTACTTATAAAATGTTTTCTTTGATAATTTGATCCATCTCATGCTATCTCAAAACTATCCAACAAAATGAATACTGTATTATAAAGATCAAAGCAACTATTATTCATAGGAACATGACTTAGATGTACATTTACTCAACTAACATATTTCCACTTATAACCTTGACACAAGAAAAATACACCAAATTCAACCAATAGTACAAACAGATAACTTCAATTTCTTATAATTTCAAGATCAACTGCACTATAAACATGTTCTATAAAAAACAAAATACTGAAATAAACATGCCTTTTCAAGAAACAAGATGTAGTAAATTACAAATAGACTTTAAATTAATTTTGAAGAAGTAGAAACCATTCTTCACCAACTATCTTAAAATAACTCTGTAAGTTGTCTTCCACAATGTAACAAGAGGGAATCCTCAATAGCCGCGGCACTTGAAATTCTTTTAGGCAGGATTATAGTGAATTGATTTATGATACCTCCCCCCCCCCCTTTTTTTTATTAGCTTTATTTTTATGTGCCCGCAATACCAAACGAAGATCGCGCGTATACTGGATTCAATTTTATTACTCCTCAGGATCTCTACCAGTCTACCCTCAAATTGAAATTCTATTAGGCACGATTATTATTTGCATTCTTGCCAACATAACCAATACATGGTTCCCACAACTTGAGTAAATTAAAATTCCCTTACATTTCCCATACCGAAAAATGTTATTCCTTGAGTATTTGATCTATGCTTGTAATGTATCATTGAACTATTACCTATAAGAACATGTGACACTGCAACACGTTGTTGATGTATTGTGTAATAAAACGAGACAGGCTGTATGTTAAGAGTCACAATTTGCTTAAAGAGTTTAATATGATTGGTCACACTGTTACGACAGCGAAAGTCACGTGACCCTGGTAACACGTAATGAGTTCTAGAAAGATCGAAGAACACCACGAATAATCCAGTATTTGCTAGGCACCCTCTATTCTTGTATATAAGTGCGCCAGGCAATTAATTGGAATTATGTAGCAGACAGAGAGATTGAAGATATAGACGGACAACTGAGTCAAGCACGGTAGTAAGCAAAGCGCGTGAATCGTTCGTTGAGAATTATAGCGTGTGTTTAAGTTAAACTGACTGTGGAAATTAAGTGTATTGCAAAGTTGTATTGAGAAAGAATAAACTAGTTTTATTTAAGAAAGGACTTGTATCGCTGAAGTTCTTCGGAAAGAATTTTTACGAGTAATTAACAAACGAGCAGAGACGTAACAACACCATTCCAGAGTTATTAATACTATCAACTCATACACTACAAAGGCAGTTTATCCATTTGCTTAGGATTGTGCATATCGATCACACTTTTCAATTTAAGTCAAAAACGTCATTACAGCATAAACACTATAGGTATTAACATTTGTTATTATAACCTTTCTACTTTTATCACACGGAAGAAACATCTCTTTGAAAACATGTTTACTGTTGTAAAATAGAATATTTGTTAACAATTATATTTCTCTCATATTTCTTAAAGCAAAAATTTATGATGTTCGTACATGCACAAAAACGTAACCCTCTCAGCTGCTAACCATACCTACATTAAAGACATATTTCCGATATCAGTAAAACAACTGCACACGTTAAGTCTACTGATCCAAAGCCCACTGTTATGCCTGTGTCTTTAAACTGTACTCATGAAGTTCATCTATATCAAAAGTATTGAAGTCTTTCAAATAACAAGACTATATATAGATAGATAACGTTACAGAAAATATTTGTATTACTGCATTACAACATCACATCACTCAAGTGTCAAGTTATTTCTTTCGTTCATATATAATATTGCGTATTACATTAAATTAAAACTGCCACTAAGTAAAACTAACTAAAACTACCCACATTATTTATATTTTGGTATGGCCCTTGGATTTAAACACAATGTAATACACTAATACATTGCCCGCGCTTGACCACACCAGCATTACACAATCTCCATAACAACTAATAACTCTATATCAAGAGCATACCATGGCCTGAAGGCCCTTGGTCTCAAAACTACACCAAAAACTAATAATGGTTGGAGACTGTTAAATTCAATTCTGTCAAGCTGCGCATGCTCATCTTTACCTAGAGACTTTATTCTTTCTTGTCTCTAGCATCTTCTTTGTTGCTTGGCAAATAGGGATTTTTCCTAATATATCACTCATGTATCATATTGCATTAAATTATTTATTATTAGGTAAACGTGATGTATTCAGTTATTCAACAGCCCAAGTTGAACTGTTTCTAAAAACTTCATGGATAACAAATAATGCTGTATTCTTGAAAACCGTTACATACGTCATATTAGTTACTGTCAATGAAACATTCTACATTTCAATATTTTTAATTCGATACTTTCCAAAAGTTATCTCCAGATTACTGATATTATACATTTTCTTCCTTTTTATTTGCTTTATACGGGTGATATTCTACCTATCTTTTGGAAATGTTGCCTGTCAACGAGCCATGTCCATGCTGTACTGAGCATCATGACGTTGGTGTGCTATAGATATTTCGTAGTAATTTAATTCCTCATAAAACAAAATATAAAACAAATTTACTGATAACTCGTTGTTTCATGTAATTATTATACTTACTTTGATAGTTAGTTGAATAAATATAAGTATAGATATGACATAAATTAGAAACTAGACAAAACTATGTAGATTTTTTTCTATGTTTGAACTGCTTGACTTTACCAATAATCAAACTTTTCGTTTTAACATCTTTCAAATCTTTACAACATAAATATGTCAAGGATGTAATATACCTAGGATATTATGTGTTCCTTCTAAGACTACCGACATGGGTTCTGTTTTATTCATGCACTAACATTTGTAAGATTAAAATAACTTATTTAATGGAAATAGCCTATCTCTAAATAATGATTTGTTTGAGCTCTTAGGCTGTAGTAAGACGATCTTCCATGAAGTTTAGGAAGACAAGAGGAAGCCTTGTCCAGAGCCCTTACACTCTGTTTAGACGGGAACCTAGCTAGTGTTTACTTACACTTGATATATTACTGCAGCCTTTATACTCCATACAATTAACGTAAACAACAATATCGATATAGACAAAACCATCTGTACACATAAAATATGTATAATAACGTGCTAAATGCGCCAGAATTAATTTAACCTGTATGCGATTTCTTGTCTCTAATGATAATTTATTTTTCGTCATGCGTGTCCTAGAAGCACCATTGAATCACATTAAATTCATAAACTTTACCCCGTTTTGTCGTTACAAAGAAAATCACTGATGTTTCCCAGGCCTGGAATGCAAAATATAAAATTTACTAGCTTCTCCCGGTTCCTCGGACCCGTGGAAACCATGCCAACAGACGCAGCCACACAAAACTTAATAACATTTTAGGTGTACATAATTTTGAAACAAAACAAAAACTAAACAAATTTCATAACAGCAAAACTTACAGATTTCCTTGGCAAGTTTTCAACCTTCATTTTTGCACATTTATTCAAGGTATTGAGTCGCCTGTAAAAAATTAAATTGTTCCATGAATTTTTTGCTATTTATCACTATAATTTGTCAACTTGTATTACATAACTTATGGCAATTCACAACATAATTTGATAGTATGCTAAATGTGTAATAAATATCCACTGTTCTGCAAGCAAGATACATTTACTGATAAGTGTTGGCACTAAATTACTTGCTTGTAAACATTCTGTTATTGTATTTTAGAACAGATTTAAGCGTTTTTAGTTAAATGTTATGCCCTTGTGAATAACATCATGGAAAATAAGTAAAGTTTCTGATCTTGTTTTTTTTTCAAAAGTAAAGATGATGGGTTATAACCCACAAACGTCAACAGTTTCACAATTATTTAAATGGTTTGCTAAAAATATAATGCTGGACATTTGTTTTAATGCCAAAATTCGCTGTTTCTATAGGAAGTCATGCGATTGAATTAAATAAGGGAGATTGTTGACATTACCTTTATAGGTTCTATTGTTACTGCTCAAAACAAAAACAAATTACAGAGGCCAACATTCGCGGACGAATGCAACATGTCTCCTCCATACAATCCCAACATGATCAATTTTGACACCAGAAAAATCAAAATCTGTCTATATCACTGCTTAAGACTTGCAAGAAGGTATCTTTGTAACAAATTCCATGCAAGTTGGTTGGTATACACACGAATAGTTCATGAAAACCCCAAATTGTGCTTTCTTCGCTGAAAAATTGATCAAAAGGCAAAAATTCCAAATTTGTCTATATCTCTGTTTGAGACCTGTAAAAGAATATCTTTGTACAAGCATGTAAATTGCCCGAAATACGGCGGAGTAATTGTCAAAAAAACCTAAAATTATGCTTTTGTTGTATCTTAACCCCCTATAATTGCTAAAAATAGGGAAGTCCAAAATGTTTGTTTTCAATGTGTGTAGCCTGTAGAAAAGTATCTTTGTTCCAAATTCCATGAATATTGGTCGAAACAAGATTAAGTAATTGCTCAAAACCCCTAAAATTATGGGCTTATTTAACCTTTTGACTTCCCTAAAATGACCAGAAATGGGCATATCCCACATTTTTGTATGTATATGTACATGTAAATTGGCCAAAATACGGCCGAGTTATTGACCAAAAACCCAAAATTAGGCTTTTTTGTGGGCTTTGACCACCTCCCTCTAAAAACTCTTAAAATGTGTAAATCTAACATTTTTGGAGATCAATGTGTTGGGTGCATGAAAATGTATATTTTTGCCAATTTGCATCTTGATTGGTGTAAATACGACTGCACAGGAGTCCAAAGTATACATTTTTGGGTTGTTTTACCTTTGATCACATAAAACACTTTAAAAGGCTTAAATAAAAAAAGAAAAGTATTTCTGGGCATATTGGACCAAGATATAACCCTACCAAGTTTCAAGTCGATCCGCCGAGAAATGAAGGAATGGCGGTCGATAGAAAAGTGTTTGGAAGAAGAAAGAAAGTTTATACATATATAACAAAGCCACATCAGCCTATCTGCTGTGTCCACCGAGAGGAATCGAACCCCTGATTTTAGCAGTGTAAATCCGTAGAGTTACCACTGTCCCAGAAAGAAAAAGAAGAAGAAACAATAAAAAAACGATACATCTCTATAGTGACATAATCACACAACAACAGTGAATGACCTAAAATTGGCTCATAAAATGTAATACGTAAACATGACATTAGAGCATTTCTTTTCCCGATAAATAATTACGAGACAGAAATTTCATTAAAATCTAGCCCAAATTTTCACCACAGTTGTGAAAAGACCCCAGATATTTCTGCTAGAGTTGCATATAGACTAGAAAAATATTCAAGGATAACAACCCAATATAATACTACTCACACGTGTCATCAGGTGTGTGTGTATGTGTTCCATAAATGAAAACAAACAGCTGCCAGCTAATATGTTCCAACTCTACAATGCAGGATATACAAATACAATCAAAATACAATTGATGCCATCCTTCAGAAAAGTATATCGGAATTGATCAAGGCTATAACAGAAGTATGACTCCTACATTAAAGAAATCTTTGCTTCATATACTATGACAGCTAACTAACGAGAAAACTTGTGAATCAGTGTGGTTGACTCACTGTTCAAACTAGCTTAATTCCTTTTAGAGATGGTATTTTTTACATCAAAATATATATGTAAGAAAACTTTCAAACTGCGTGTGGTGACTTTTACCTATTGACTTATTGTAAGTTACAATAATAAAAATGCACTAATTCAAGATTTGATTTTTTTACAAGCAACCTAATTTTGATCACACCAGTTTATTAAAAATGAAGTATACTCTAAGCTCAATATTAGCTTCACTCTACATAAAAACTGTAAGAAGTGAATGATTAATTTGATTTGCTCACGTTTAAAACTGGTATCAAACTTATTATAATTTCAATTGTTGATTATTACCCCTACAAAACTAATACACCAGTTTAGTATGAAATACGTCTTATTAAAGTAAAACTAAATTAACTTACCTGAATAATGCTTGAATTGAGTCAGGATCAAGGAATTTATGATCCTCTTGAACACTACTGATATCAATGGGGAAAAGACCATCTGTTTTAAAATAAAACGAAACTTATTAATTACTTTACCTACAAGTAGATATAAAAATCGATCAGCTAAAATATATCAGCTAGCAAACAGTTTAAAACTTACTTGAAATTTTAGTTTTGTTCATGGGATCAGTACGACACTACACACAAGTTTTATGATGAAAAATCTCAAGCATTTCTAACGGAAAGTTTAAGTGTTTCACTAAAAGAACCACTAATTCAAACCTAAATCAAGATACAAATATTAGTTTGTTTTAAGTCATTATATTTCCTTCCCTACCATATAAAACTTCTAAGAGATATTTCTCAATATTGAGTTATCCGAGTATTCGTTAAATAAGATTTTATTTTGTCCAACTCAAGTTGTTCTTATAAAGCTTAATAGAATGGTACTTAAATAATGATACCAAAGTTTATTTAATTTTAAATTAGTATAAGTAAAACACGCCAATTACTTTACATCCACCAAATGTAAAATTCACTATAAAGTATATGAAATTAGTAATTAAAATAATGATTAACAGAAAGAGATCATCAGATACCACAAGTATTACCATACCAGAACATACACGCAGCGTGCGAATATGAGATAATATATATATATATATATATGACAGAGGGTGCTGTTGATGTTACTAACGTATCAGCTTTGTTGATGGATCTGGGATCTCATTGTTTTGATTGTTGTTCTCGTTTGTTTGATGTTAAGCACAAAAGCTACATAAAGAGCTGTCCGTTCTCTGCCCACCACGGGTATCGAAACCTGATTTTTGCTTTATACACTCTCAGATTTACCACTGCCACCAGGGGTCATGACCACTCATGCAAAGAGACTTAGTTTACGAAACTATGCAGAATGAACTTAAAATTTAACTTCTGAGTGAACCTCAGTCAAATCGCCTGTATAGATAACCAGATATAGTACATTTTACTTTAACAACCAAAGTCGTGCATCCAATTTCAAAACACAAAGACTTAGTTAAGCCAAGAAACCATAAAATTAAAATAATTGTACAATATTTCATCTGGCGTGAATCATATTCTAATATAGCAATCACATAAATGTCAGACTTACCTAAAGTAACCACAACTTCCATGGCAGAATATTAATATTTATGATTAATCATTTCTCAACTTGTCGCGTTTTAGGTAGGTAGTCGAAACTATAGATTATACTAAGTACCATGCGCACCTCCTTTTATATATCGCTAGCAACCCATCATTGCCATAATTCTACCTCCGCACATTGATCACCATAGGTTGCCTAGACAACCGACAAGATGAGACCTTTGAGAAAAGCAACAAGCGTTTGGCGCAGTTCGTCGAGTTGGAGACAGAAATACAGAAATTTAAAAGGATACACTCCACGAGTTTGTGGGCAGTAACAGCAGGTTACTGTATGTCTTCCTCTGTCATGTTCGTCTTTACTTAACCGTAAGTTCCAGAAGGCAAAAATGTTCCTAAAGCAATATTAAAAATTACCGAAACACCTTACAAGTAATCAGTTAACTCGCATTATCGATGAAAAGTATTTTCTGGCTGCACCGCAAACCTACATTCTTCATTTACAGAAGTCCTCTGTAAACACACAGGCTCATAGAATAATACAGTGGAGGGCCAAACAACTATTACTCCTACCGCCCCTTATAGTAAGGTCACTACTGACGAAATAATAAGGTCAAACCAGAATGCTGAAACTATACACGTTAACATGCACGATTCAGGAAACTTTACGTTCTATAATTGGAGGCAATTAATAAAAGTTAATACTAATAACTTTTTATTGCATTTTTGTGTTCTTATCAGATCATTTCAATACTTCAGTTTCTCAGAGTTCTTTACATTTTGATAATATAACTCTTCCTGGTGTGAAAAAAGAGCACATGGTAATGTTGTTTTTGTTGATATTACTATTTTTTTGCGTTCTTTTTCATTGTTTTACAAGGCTTTTGATATCGAATTTTTCTAACTTGGCTGAGCCACTTCCGAGACTCTAGATGTAAAATATTTTAAAATAAAATTCATGAATCGAAGACGGATTTTCGCGACATGTCAAAATTAGGCAAGTTCAAAACTTGTTTTGAACTTGATTCCTGAAAAATAAAATCATACTCGGATGGAGAATTATACTTCGTCTTTTTAATTTAGTAGATCTGACAACCGATGGTTGTCACGCCAATAACATGAACGATACGTTAGTGAAACATCATAATCAGGATCCACTGACTGTTAACTACGTCACTCATAAATAAACAGAATACTACGTCTGTTTAATAAGCATCTTGTGAAATACGCGAAGCTACTTGAGGGCTATTTGCACTTGTCGTCAATAATTTTTGAATGACAGATTAGACGCAAGGTAGCTTATTCAACACCATCCACTACCAACTCGTGGGCAACTCTGATCAAACAGTGGGATTTAACCGTCACTTTTATAACGCACCCACGGCCCCAAAGTGTGATGCGCGTTTTTTGTTTTGATGATACCGAGACACGAATCTCGGTTCCATAGTACGACATGCTAATATTAATGAAGTCACTTTTATTGAAGCACAATTTTTAAGTTATCCTGTTGTTTTTAAAATAATCTCGAACTGGTGATTTTTGCAGCAGATATTAAACATGTTAAATTCACAACAATAAATACTATTTTCGTCAAATTTATTTTCCATGAAGTTGTTTAATTTTGTTTTCCTCAATTTATAGTAATATGTTCTTTGTTTTGTTTTCTGAACGCACTATACTTCTTATAGCAATTCTACGAATGACCATAGATACCTACTTTCCGTTAAAATGTTTATATGTTTTCCTATTAATTTGTGTAGTTTTTGTATGTCCATGGAATTGACACAACATCTATAAACTTTCAGCATAGCCATATCCATGATAGATAGAACTTTTACAAGAATTAAAACCACAATCAAAAATTTATAAAACATAATCATTGCTTTGGCCTACAGATAAATATATAAAGCCGCCAAAGTAGGGATTAAATTCTATAAATTTATTATTGTGGTTATAATTCCTGTAAAAGATATATCTATCACAAATTTATAAAATGTAATCCTTACTTTGGCTTACAGATAAGTATATAAAGCTGCCAAAGTAGAGATTAAATTTTATAAATTTGTGATTGTCGTTTTAATTCTTGTTTCATTTCTTTTTGTAGCAGGATCGCTACTTTACTTTACAGTGCCTAATGTTTTGATACTCTTGTTTGTTAACTCTTTATGTTATACATGTATAAAGTATGTACTTTACGTTTAGAAACTGTCGCGTGTTTATCCATCGATATGTAGCGCCATCTGTTGGGTTGAATTGGGTTGGAAATATATCTAAATAGTCTAGGGACTAGTCGCACTGACGTGATCAAGTAGGTAGGTAAGTAGTAGACGAAAAAGTAGCTGTTTTAGACATTTTTGAAATGTTATACCAGAAATATTAGCGACCTTTTTAGCCTATTATTAGTATATATATGTAATATATCGTAACCAATAATTAGTAGTTGATCCCTACTATTAAGTACTACCGCACTTAATAATAGATAAATTAATGTACTATATTTGGTGGTACAGCGATTCGAACCCGCGACTCTCAGATTGCGAGTCGAGCGCCCTAACCACCTGGCCATGCAAGGCCTAAAGCTTAATGTGGGGAAAATATTTTATGTTAATGCACGGAATCGAACCAGGCTCACCAGCTCCGAAATCCAGAGCTTTACCACAGAGTCAACCCATTTTCTGCACTTGAAGAAAAAAGCCTTATAAATTGTTGCTGTTCTAGAGAAAACAAGTAACACATCTAATTAATAAAATATTTAATGATTTAGGAAATACTAACATGGTTCTAATGTTGATTACCTATCAACTTTCTAATAATGGATAAAGACGTTATCGATTATTGCTTAAAGCCACATATTGGGGTGCTTTTTAAGACACAGCGTCACACCAATAGCGGTACTAAAATATTTTCCTCAAATTATAACTTCATACGAAATAACTACTAATGTATCGTTCACTAACTAAACGAATAACTTCCTCTACTAATATGTACTAATTAAGCGTTCATTAGAATCGCTAATTGATATTTTCAACCTCAATGCGCACATGGTCAAAACGCCCAAGTCAGAGACACCTAGAGTAAACGCCCAAATCAGGGACGCCTAGGGTAAATGCCAAAGTCAGAGACATCTAGGATTCAGGTATAGCCGTCCGGCTTTGAATCCAATAACGGAGCTGATTACCTCTCATAACGTAGCCACAGCTGAATGTGCCGAGAAAAGTCAAACTATAGATGAGTGGGAGAAAATTAGCTGCAAGACTGTTTTGTTCCAATCTTTATTATAGAACGCGATATATATTATTTGTCTTATAAGGTCATATGATTGAATCAGTAACTCATAGTAAGAAAGATTAACCGCAGGCGAATTCTGAGCTATGATTGATTTATTAAATTATTTGTGGATATGTATGATGATTTTCAAGAGAGAGTTAACTCAAGTGACAATAAACAATACTAACACTATATTCAGCTGCGCATTTCTTATATTTTTTATGAACATAATTTCTCAGCTACATCTTACCTTTTATTTTTCAAACGCTTTCCTAAACCGACTATATATAATTAAGCAACGTAAATACTTTGATATTTCCAAAATAAAATAATGTTATCGATCTATGTCACGTAATTTTTTGTAGTTAATTTATCTGCCTTTCTCACGTACATGATTATAAAGTTAGAATTTTTCTGGCTTTTATTACTAAATTACCGCACACCACAAATACAAAGCCACTTTAATGCATCTGATTTATTATATATTTAAGTTGTACTTATATATACACTTGTACAGTTAAGTTCTGCAGCAGAATTAGAATACCTCGTAAAAATTACAGCTATATGTTGTAAGTGGTACACCAATAAGCCAAGGTATTAAAGTTAGAGCCTGATACCAGTGGTTAAAGTGGGGCGGTAAGAAAACAAAATGGCAATATGATACCGGTA